ATCCAGCTGGTTTTGCCTGTTCTCCCTGAGCCCACCCAGTGCTCCAGCCTGCAAGGTTCCCACAGGGTCCCCCAACATGCATGCCTCACCCACAGTTATTGGGCTGTCTTTTCTGGGAGTGCCTCTTGTCATCTCACCTATCCCGGTCTTCCAGTTCAGCTCAGCTCCTACCGCTTCCCAGTGCTTTTTCTCTGGCTGCTGAATAGCTTTCCCCTTCCCTCCCCATGGCTCTTGGCTTTTGGCCCACCTCACACACGGCCTGGTGCTATTGTTTAACCCCCCTTTCCTGTTCTCCATCTCCTTTACAAGCTCCTAGAAGGTGGAGCCATTCTCCTTGTCTTTGACGCCTCCCACCATACCTGGGATATTGCGGTGCAGCGCGTGGCTGGTGCTTGGTAAATATCTGCTGAGGCGATGAACGTCTTCTCTGGTCCCTGGATGAGAAATGACTGGGGAAGGAGGACACTGAAGGGTGCAGCAGTCAGCCAAGAGGAAGTCGGGTTTGGAGAGGGCTTGGAATTCTGCACAGCTGCAGGGTGGAGCTGTGCCCTGTCATCCCTGCAGTCACCTTAGGCACCCTTGACTCCAGGGGGAGAGTGAACAATCCCCATCTCTCATATTAGTATATCCTCATGGGGAATCAAGAACTGCCCCATTCCATTCCACCCTCTTGGCAGCCCTGGGAGGTAGCTAAGATGGTCCAATTACATCCTACCCTTTTATAAAGGAGGCTCAGAAGGGCTAAGTGGCTTGCCTGAGGTCACACAGCAGGTAAGGGGTGAACCCATGGACCATCAGATTTCAGCAGGGGAGGGGAGGGGAAGGGGGAGGAAGTTGGGGAGGGGAAGGGAAAGAAAAGGGAAGGGAAGGGAGGGGAGGGGAGGGGAGAGGGGGAGCTCCTCTGGGAGCTTGCTTGGGCTTTGTCACTGCTCTGAAGATTCAAATAAATCTGAGAAGGTTGGGAAAGCACCTTCTGTAGAGACCATACCAGACGCTATGAGGCCAGAGTGAGGACATCAGGCTCTACCACTCCCCCTTCTGTCCCAGGAGTTCTCAGCACACCCATTACTTCTATGGCTACTCACCTGCTGCCCTTTTGCCCAGCCTTCAGCGTGGTACATAGCAGAGATTTGAGATATTTGCTGGCCAGTGCCTCAGTTTCCTCTTTATGTATTTGCTCGCTCCCTTCTCTTGGCAGGTAGGGTGAGGCTAAATTAATGTTTATTTAAGGGTTTCTGCATTCTGAGCTGACAGGTGCCTTGTGATGGTAAAATATGAACCCAATGTAAGTGCAAAATGCTATTGTTTTACATCTGAGGGTGATGTTTCATAATGGCAATGCACTGTCAGAGCTGTACGCAGAATGAATGGTGTGTCTAATCCTCCCTTGCTCCCCCAGACTCAGAAGACAGAAGCTCACATCCCAGGGTGGAGAAATATGAGGCTCCTTGCCTTTTGCTATAAATCTGCCTTTTTATCAGCCCTGACAGGTGGCTGGACAATCCCAGTCAATTCATCAATTAAATCTACCCATTTGTAGTTGCTGGGAAGCTTGTGTCCTTGGCTCCAGCAAGATCTGAAGCCCCGGAGTGCAGGAAGGCTGTTGTCCTGGTGCTTGATGCTCCTGGAGGGAGCAAAGGGGGCTTGGGGAAGGGGCTGCCTCAGGAGGAGGCAGTGGAATGGATTTCCAGTCAGGAGAGGAGAGTGGGAATGTGTGTTTGGAATGGGGTTGGGCTGGAGGAAGGGGTGGGAAGGGTACCCGGCCTGAAAAACCATAGTCTGTGGTTCAACTTGTCTTCCATGGTGTTTCTGCAGTAGACTGGCAGGTGCATCCCCCAGCTCTAAGGTTAGGCAAAACTGGGTTCTAGCCTCAGCTCCAGCATTTGCACATCATATCACTTTGGGGAACGTAGTGAACTTCTCAGAGTCCTAATTTCCTTATCTGGAAAATGGAAATAATAATAATAACACCCCGAGGGAGCTATGAGGGTTAAATGTAATATCTGTATAATATAAATACAGTATCTAGAATGAACCTGGCACAGAGCCTGGCCTGTAGTTGACAATGAAGCCGATTACGGCTATTACTATTGCTGGCGCTATCATCACAGAGGGCTACATCGTACTTAGCCTTAAGAATTTACTTACCTTCTCCCATGAATCAATTCCTAAATTCCTCCCTGTCAGGGATTCTCTCGGCTTCCTAAATCCATTTGCAGGCACAATATAGAGTCTTTTTGTACCGTGATGGATTTTGGCTTCCAAATCCATGAAGCTGCCAGGGTGAGAGTGCCTGATTAATGAGGTTGTCTCAGGAAACACCCAGGGCCCCGGAGCAATGTCCCTGCTCCCAAAAGCTAAGTAGTGTCTGGAATGCCCAGAATCCAACAGACACCGCTCCTAGGAGGAGTGTGTGTGTTGTGTATATGCACATATGGGTGTGTGCCCACGTGTGTTCTTGGCCAGTTGAAAATGGAAATTGGTGGCCAGGTTGTTTCTGAGGGAGGTGAAAGTCCCCTCTTCATTACCGCAGTGGTTACACTGTGGTCATACATCACAGAATGGTTAAGACAGTGACTCTAGGTCAGACTGCCCAAGTCTGCATCCCAGTGCCCTCACTTACTGATTATGTGGTCTTGGGTACGTTCCTTTGATCTCTCAGTGTCTTAGTTTCCTCATCTGTACAGTGGGATACTAATAGTATCTCTTTTAATGTTGTTGGGAGAATTAAAAGAAGCCGTATAAGTAAAGTCCCTAACAGCAGTGCGTGGCACATAGAAGATGCTTAACAAATGTTTGCTGAATGGATGTCTGTAAGGAAGCCTTCCAGAAAGTGAGCAGAGTCTTGAAAGTGGGACCTGCTAAGTGTGGATTCTATGAGAAACCTCCTGAGCCTCAGTTTGCTGCCTGGTGAAATGGCATGATTTCACGCTCTTGGGGAACACCCTTGCCATGGCAAGTTGGGTATGCTTCCAGAGCTTCTGAGGGTCCTGTGCAGACAAGACTTGCTCCGACAACAGCTTTGTGACCGTCACAAAGGAGGCAGCATGAGGAGGAGAATGGCAAGGCCATGTGGCTCCCCTCTCCAAGAAAATGCCGTTCAGCTGCTATGAGTGCAGTGCCCGGTGGGGACAGCAAATGCATTTGCTGCTAAGAGGACGCTCCTGACACCGCAGCAAGAAGTCCACGAATGTGTTTTCCAGCACGTCTGCTAATGGCTTCATCACCGCTTTTTATGAGACGATGTGAATTGCTCTGACCAATGAGGCTTAATGGCCTTCCTCAACGAGCTGCCTGGTATATTTTCCCCAGAGGCTCGGCTCAGAGTTAAGCCAAGAATATTACTACTGCCGGATGTGGGCCCTCCCCCATCCTATAAAGTTGTGGAAATTGAGGTCAAGTTGGGTCCCCTGCAACAGTCTTTAAACAAGCAGCGGAGTGGTTTGTTTGCTCCTTGATCTTTCTGGTGGAGAGGGTGTGGCTTCCAGCTGGAGACCTGGGACCCAGCCCTCTCTTCCTCTGAGTTAGTGTCCACTTGCTGGGAGGTGGATTTCTTAAAGGGGCAGGCTCCTCAGGAGGGAGCACCCCTTGTTTCCAACATTCAGGGCTGCTGGGATAAAAACAGGAAATATCTAGGCCTGACGATGGGTTAAGAGGAACAGATGGCCAGTCCTCCCAGTCAGGTGGCCCTTCCGCTGCCAGCCGTAACCATTAGAACATTCTCCCTTGTGGATGAGGGTTGGAATGGCACCATGTCAGAGATGGAAGTAGCCTTTGCAGTCTTGCCCATCTTCTCCCTCCACTCTCCAAGTGAAGGAGCAGACGATCTGAGTGGGGAAGGGAATTGCACAATCACATGGTGTCAGGGCTGGGTTTAGAAGCTAGATCTTTTGCCCTGAGTCTAAATCTTAAACCCACTCTACTGCTGGTCCTCGTTCCGTCCTCTGTGACAACGCATTTCCCAAATCGGCTCTCAAGGTCTCCTTCCTGCAGCCTTCCCTCTTCCAGGGAGCATCCCAGCTCCTGCAGCCATTTATCTCAAGCGTGGTTTTGAGACCTTTTACAACTTTCATCTGCGGAATGGTAGAAAGAACACTAAAGTCCTCTCTAGAAACAGTGGGTTCACATTTTAGTTCTGTAACTTAGCTGTGTGATTCTGAACAAATTCCATAACTCTTCTCAGCTTATAACATGGGTGATTTATAAAGGGGGTGATACCATCTCTTCAAAGAGCTGTGCAAATGAACAGAGGTCATGAGTATAAACTTGCCTGCATATACAATAGTGCTCAGTAACTATTTTTTTTAACTTAAGCATTTCAATGTTTCTCCCAATGTGTGGATGTCATGGTCATGACTTTGGACCCTTCAACACAGAGTGAGTGGCAGCCTCTCCAGGTGGACTTGGCTTGGCAAAGAGGATGAAACTTGTAACTTTGGTCATTCCTGTGCAAGGCTGGGATTTTCTTTCTTTCTCTCTCTCTCTCTCTTTCTTTCTTTTTTTCTCTTTCTCTCTCTCTCTCTCTCTTTTTGAGACAGAGTCTTGCTCTGCTGCCCAAGCTGGAGTACAGTGGCAAGATCTCTGCTCACTGCAACCTCAGACTCCCAGGTTCAAGTGATTCTCCTGCCTCAGCCTCCTGAGCAGCTGGGACTACAGGTGCGCAAGCCTGGCTAATTTTTTGTATTAGCCAGGCTTGCGCACCTGCAGTCCCAGCTGCTCAGGACCTCAGGTGATCCACCCACTTTGGCCTCCCAAAGTGCTGGGATTACAGGCCGTAAGCCACCACGCCGAAAGGCTGGGATTTTCTATAGATGGGGAACTGTCTCTGATTCACCTTTGCCAGTGCCTGGTATGTAGTCAGTGCTCAATAAGTGCTTATTGAATGACTGATGCTTGAAGGTCTGGTGAATGAGTGCCTGGGCTGTCGCAAGCCTTGGTGGCTTATATGGGTATTATCGGAGCCCAAGCTAACCAAGTCTCTCCCCTTGCCTCCTCTGCAGCCCGCCCTGAAGATGTCGGCACCAGCCTCTACTTTGTAAATGACTCCTTGCAGCAGGTGACCTTTTCCAGCTCCGTGGGGGTGGTGGTGCCCTGCCCGGCTGCAGGCTCCCCCAGCGCGGCCCTTCGATGGTACCTGGCCACGGGAGACGACATCTACGACGTGCCGCACATCCGGCACGTCCACGCCAACGGGACGCTGCAGCTCTACCCCTTCTCCCCCTCCGCCTTCAATAGCTTTATCCACGACAATGACTACTTCTGCACCGCGGAGAACGCTGCCGGCAAGATCCGGAGCCCCAACATCCGCGTCAAAGCAGGTAAGGGACGAGACGCCTGCTGCCCCAGTGGGACAGGGGGAGACTGTGCCGTCATTCTGAGGATATGTGTGTGACGTGCTCAGGGGGGTTTGCAAGAAGTCATTCACTTAAGAACAGTTTTGTTGTTCTCTTTCGAATCTTAGTTGTACCCCTTGCTGTGTGTCCATAGGCGTAAGAGACACCTTTTTAAACCTCAGTTTTCTCATCTGCAAAGTGGACACAAGTACCTATCTCTATATCACTACACATGATGGTTAAACGAGATGAGGCTCATTTAAATGAGGTGCTCATGTCAGCCCTTGACTTATAGAAAGCCTGCAGTGAAGTTGCCTTGAAGTCTTTCATTGAAATATAATATATAAAGGAAAGTGCACACATTGTAAGTATGCAGCTTGATGAAATTTTACAAAATTCAACTAACTCTCAGATTGAGAAATACATCAGCACCTTAGAAGCCTTCCTCAAGCTTCTTTTCATAGACTGCTCCCCTAAGAGTGACCACTATCCTGATCTCTAACAATACAGATACAGATATTTTGCTTATGTATGAACTGCATACAAATGGAGCCCGACAGAATGTATTGTCTAGGCCCTTTTGCTCACTATTCTGCTTGTGGGATTTATGCCTACTGTTGTGTGTGGTGGGAGGTCATTTGTTCTCACAGCTGTCTAGTGTCCTGTCATGCAATGAGACCACACTTTCTTTTTCCATCGTACTGCTGAGAGGATGAGTATAACATATCTTGTGTAAAAAAGCATTTTGGTAAAATTCATGATGGAAGACTTTTAGCAGTGAAGGATTTTGGTCTTTGGAAGAGTAGATGGGGGCAAGGAGGTAGGGTTTCTCAGGTAGTCTATTTTAAGAAAAAAAGTCCCATTTCTCTGGATTAGGTCAGGAGGCCAAGGGGACAGCTTAGATCCGCCATTCTTCACTAGGACACCAGGATACATTGGTGTGTTATAATCAGTGGTAAGGTGGATCTCAGATTCATTATAAAGCAGTGAAGTTTTGGGAATGGTTTTCAATTTAGAGAGCCAGCCTGCTGTAAGGGTGCCAGGCCTAGGGCACGCCTTCTTTTCCAGGGACTGTGTTGGGCCAACCAAGGGGAGTGGTTCTGGGAAAGCCGTCCCAACTAGCATGTGGTGACAGACCCGCTCTGACTTCTTGGGTTCTTTTGCCTTAGGGACACCTCTCATAAGAGCAAGGCTTAAAGTAGCTGGGAATGGGAGTGTGCAGGGGCGAGGTGGGCGAGAGCTCTGCTTCATTCCATCCATTTATTTGGGGCTAGACCATGAGCTCTTAGAACCCAGAGATATGCTCAGAGTTTCTCCTGGGCTTCCCATGGACTCCTTCTAGGAGCGGATCCTTCCCACTGCTCAACCTCTCATGCAATACCAAGTGCTGGGCTAGGAGCCCTGAGGCCTGGGTTTGGAGCCCAGCTCCGGCCTCTATAGCACGGAGGATTGGGCTAAGCAGAAGGAACCATGTTTTGGGTCACCTGCCCCTCATTAGGTTAGGATGCAGTTTTCACAGTAACTCTATAAACGTCTTTTTACAAATGAAGAGATTAAGACAAAGAGAGGTGAAGTCACTTGTCCAAGGGCACACAGCCAGTTAGTCACAGAGTTGCGGCTATCGTGAAAAGTGAGATTGTCAAAGTGCTTTCCTCGTAGTGGACCTTTCATACGTGGCTCTTACGGTGATTTCCTTTTACAAATGAGGAAACTGAGGCTCCAGAAGGTTAACCAAACCTTGTCCAGGACCACACAGCTGGCCAGTGGAGGAGGCAGGGCCCGCTTGTTAGATGCTGTTAACCATGAACCTCTGCTGACTTCCTGGGACATCACGGGCGGCGAGCACCCCAGCCCGCCCTTTCCATTCCACCAGCCCACTTCCCTACAGGGTTCGTTCCCCTTGTTTTCCTCTGTGCTCTCCCATATCTGGAGGCAGGGCCCTACCCAAACCCATGGAAAGGCTGGACCACAGACCCCCAGAGCCACCAGTCCTCTCCTCTCTTCTTTTCTTCCACCTCAACCACATCTCCTCCCCATCGCAGCTACAACTTGGAGAAGGGGAGAGAATAAAGGCTAAGGGAGGACCGAGGAGGGCCAGACTGACTGGAAACACCATCAATTAAGAGACTCTTGATGATGCCAGAGGGGCTGCAGGTGCACAGCCGGGGAGGGGGTGGGGATGGGCTGCCAGGGCCCTAAGTGTCACCTTGGCAACCATGGCAGGGAGAAAAGGAGGGCATGCTGCCCAGGTGCCTGCTGAGGGACAAGGTCAGGAGGCAGCAGGGCGCTGGATGTTCCAGGTTTGCTTGGCAGAGAAGGGGGTGGAAGGAACAAGTGAGGCCTGGGAGAGCCCAAGCAGAGGAGGACAAGGCACAGGTCCCATTCCTAAGGCTGGATCCGCCTGCCTGTAGGGCCAGACACGTACAGCAGCTGCAGATGGCAGTGCCCCAGAAGCCAGCCGAAGCAGGAGGTGGGCGCTGTGGGGGAAGGGGTGGTTCTGAAAGCAGGGGCAAGGCTGGGAGTCGGGGAGGCTGCAGCCAGGGTCAGATGCAGGGAGGAAGCAGCAAGGATGCTCTGTTTTGGAGGAGCTTGGAGACCGTGTCCATGTCTCTGGGGTTCTGTGTGCTCAGAGACAATCACAGTTCCGAACATTCTCTCCCTTTGTCTTTGTAAGCTCAGGATCTGAACTACATTTCCCAGGCTGCCGTTTACGTTGAAGGAGCCCAAAACTCAGTTGTTAAGAGCATGTGTCGCTGGTTTTGTTCAGGCGCATCGTGGTCACCGTGTCCAAAATAATCTCCACCCTGGGTCCAGGAAAAATGCAGGAAATCCGGTTTGGTTTTCTTAGGGGAATTCTAGCATATTTCCTTATTACCTGCACATCCCCTTGGTGAATATAACATTGAAAGGCTTAAATGCTGCCTTCAAGGCTCTTACAATATAATACGATTTGCTAATTCCGAAATGGGAAAGTTTGGGATTTGGATGGATAGTCTTGCAGAGAGAGAGGCCAGATATTTTTGAGGGAGAAGAGGCTGCCCAGTAGGATAGGGAGGAGGTTGATGGAGGAGTTGTGCAGACAAGAACGAGATTATGGCAGGAGCTTCTGGGCTGGCTAGGGGGGAGGAGGGAAGGAAGAAGTGAGGAAGGTGAGGCTGAAGGAGCGGAGGGAGTTGAACTGACTCCCCGTTCCTTTCAGGGGACTCCCACCACATCCTTGTGACACTCTTCTCTTCCCCACTGCCAATCTCTCTGCAGTTTTCAGGGAACCCTACACCGTCCGGGTGGAGGATCAAAGGTCAATGCGTGGCAACGTGGCTGTCTTCAAGTGCCTCATCCCCTCTTCAGTGCAGGAATACGTTAGCGTTGTGTCATGGGAGAAAGACACAGTCTCCATCATCCCAGGTAAGAAGCCTCCCAGGGCTGTGGCAGACAGAGGTGCTGCCTCTGTGGGGAGCAGGGAAAGTAGAGGTGCCTAAGTTGGTTGTTGAGCTCAACAAGATCTTGAGATTGGCTCTGGGGAGCGATTTGTTATTGTTCTGGTGATGCTTCAGCAAAAAAATGTCTTTGGTCTTGGTCTGGCACGTCTCTGCCTGGGGTGTTGAAGACCCACACGCTAGTGGCCTTGGGTGAGTGTGTGAGGGTCCCATCAGACACTGGGTGCACTGGAGGCCCCAGCCTTCCTGACCGCTGGGGTTTTGCTTGGCCCGGCCCTGAGGAATGGGAGGCAAGGCTGGAAGCACCTTACCTGTGAAAGGTGGCGAGGGGAGGAGGGATGAGAGGCGGGTTTATGGTCTGTGTTCCTGCGTCATGTGACTAAAACAGTGAGCGCTGCATCCTTGGAGACCCGACTTCAGGAAGCATGTGTATAGGGACTTTTTTCCTTCTTGCATGAGTTGGCTAAAGACTCCATCGGAATTCTAGCTGGTCTCGCTTTGAGGCTGATGTTGGGAGGCGGAGTTCATACCATGCTGCAGGTTCATCTCATTACAGCTGCTGTGATTGCAAATCCCTCATTATTGGTTCCTTTTACCTCTGTGAGGTTGTGTCTCCCACAGGAAAGTAGGTCTGGAAGTCCCAAGAGAGGACCTCAACCCCTTAAAATACCTCTAGGCCTACATTTACAAAACTGTGGGATTTTTCCACCACCCATTTCTTCATCTCCGCACATTGCAGGGGTTCTGCTGCTTTTTCTTCCTCTCTACCGAGGATTTTTGTTTTCCTTGTTGTAAATTAGAGGAACTTGACCAGATGATCTCTGAGTGCCCTTTCAGCAGTAAGTTCCATAACTGATTGTATGAAATGATTCTTGTTCCTCAAGGTTGACAGTTTAGCTGGGGAAGATAAGACTTCTATTCATGGAAACTTTAAAACAGGGGTTTTTAAGTCCACTCTCCGCTTAAATTCCCAAGGAGCTCCTTTAGAAACACCAATGCTTAGCCCCAAATCAACTGACTCAGACTCTCCCAGGAGCAGGGCCTGGGCATCAGCTTTCTGAATGCTCACTAGGTGGTTCTGATGTGTACCTAGGACGAGAACCATGCTTTGGCGTGTTGACAGCTGATGCAGCAGGAGATTTTCTTTGAGACATTAATTTGCCTTTTACTCTCAGTACTTTTTGCTTCTCTCAGTTCCAAGCAGATGGCCATGCCATTATTTCCCCTGACTTCAGAGCTTGTAGCAGGATGGGAATTTGAAGCTCCTGGAAGACAGCTGCTCCTCCTGTCTTTTGTAAAACCATAGGCTAATAGCAAAGGTTAGGATGGGTGTTTTGACTGGGGAGGAGAGCCTCTGAGGGCAAAGAACAAAGAGGAGACGAAAGGATGCCAGGGATGGGGATAGTGCTGAAGGCTGCTCCGTGGATGCAGCCAGAAGAAGCTGTTGGACCCCACAGGGGTGGCTGTGTGGGGCCCTGCAGGGTCTGGGACTCAGCCAGGGTTCTTGTGTTCAAATGAGTCATAAGGTGCACAGCCCAAGAGGTGCAGCAATTATTCAGGCAGGGACCATGGGCTGGTGAGGACCGGAGGGACCCTGGACCTTGGTATACCATGGGAGAAGCCCCAGTAATGAAGGGGACAATCTCCTGCCTGTCTAGCAGAGTCAGATTTAAGGTGACTTAACAAACATAAAGAAATGTGGTATTTCTTATATACTTGAGTTTATGGACTAAGCCTTACGTCCATTAAGTAATAATAATTATTGCATTAAAATTTGGGGGGTGCTTACTATATCCCAGGCACTGGGTTCAGCAACTTCCATACAGGGTCTCATTTTATCATCATAAAAAGTCCATAAATGTGTTTCCTCTTCTCCACTTTACAGAAGAGGAAACTGAGGCTCAAAGAAGTAAAGTACCTTCTGGATCACACTAAGCAGAAGCTGGGGCTGGTACCAGAGTCTGTTTTTTCAACCTGTGTGCTTAACTCCACACAGAAGTGCCTCCCCCACCACGTAAATGTATCCAATAAAACGTTACCCTGGCTACAGTGGGGGCTTTAAATGTGTGCTGTAGGCAATGAGGGTTTTGGCGTTAGGAAGGAGGACAAGTCGATGTAGGGGAAGCTTCATGGAAACAAGTGCAGTGTGGTGATTAAGAGCCTAGAATCTAGGACCAGGCTATCTGGATTTAAGACTCGATCAGTTGCTTACTGTCTGGGCGAGTCAATTACCCCTTCAGTTTCCCCACCTGTAAAATGGGCGCATAGAGTTCAAGTAAGAATTGAATGAATCAATATGTGAACAATGTCTAGGACGCTGCCCGACACTTGCTGACGACAGGTTATAGCGATTATTAGGTGGAAGAGAGCATTTGCGCTTGCTGTTGGCTGCGGTGGTGTGTGTTTCTGGTATGGAATGGAGTCTGCGTTCCCCACACGACTGCAGTTCCCACGGGCCAGAGCTGGATTGTTCTCATCCACACGTCCCCACTTTCTGTGCTCAGGGTAAATAAAAGCTCACTAAATGAGCAGTGAGTAGGTGAATGTATGGCTGGAAGAATTCTAGAGGAATCTGGGGAACGGCATGGACAGAGGCAAGGAATAAGGACTTTAGGCTGGGCGTGGGTTGGGGAGAAGACCAGATCAGACAGGAGAGAAGGAAGGCTAACTGGTTTCTGTGCTTAGGAGCTGGAAACAGGGAGCTTTCCCCAGGCGACCCTTGTAGCTCATGCTTCAGGGCTGTCTTTGATGTCAAGACTGGGCTGGTGGCCCCAAAGGGCATAATTATCAGGGAAGTGGCCTTAATGCTAATCTGCGGGGCTGTGTTAAACTTTGGTTCTGCAGAACCCCTTTCTTTAGTTTGGCCTTAGAGAATTTTCCTCTCCTGCCCAGCCCTTCAGCCCCATCCATAATCATTCTAGATCATTCTACAGTTACATGTTAGATCCAAGGCCAGTCTTCCCCAAGCACGGGAATCCAACTAACATGATCATGGAGGACTCCATGAGAGCCAGAGAGAGTGGAGTTTTGTCTCGTCCAGGCTCTGCAGGTGAGGGGACCAGAACTTGGGCCCACGTGCCATATGCTTTAACTTTGGCATATGCAAATAGTTTGATTTTTTATAAAAATAGGATTTTTTTTCTGCTAACCATATTCACCCTATGCTCAGTGTGTGTGCTGTGTGTGTGTGTGTGTGTGTGTGCGCGTGTGTGCATGTGTATTTTGAGGTGGGGAAGCTGGATGGGAGCTTCTCATGGTAGGGGAAGATTACATGGAAAGTTGCCCTGAAGGTTAATGGAGGGTGGAGGAGCGGGGGATATTTCCCTCTGACACTTTAGAATCAGCTTCCAGAAGCAGAGGAGCTGTGTTGTCTCTCATCTCTGGATCTGCAGGGCTGGGCTTAGCTTCTCCACAAACCACCAGGCCAGCAAGAGCTGAACGCAGAAGGAGAAGCAGGGAGACTGGTGTAAGCCAATCTGAGCCCCAGGAGGCATCCCCTTGGGGATGCAGGTGCCCTGGGAGGAGGGGCCTCTCATGTGAGTGCAGCCCCTGTGGATGGGAGCTGGTTTTCCCACGCCTCTTTCTGAGGGATCCTGGGAAGAATTGAAGGCTTGGGGCCTAAATGAGCCCGTGAGTTGGGTGTTTGCTCACAGGTTAGCCTTCCTGGCTATCTCTGGATATTCCAGAGTGGGCTATGGAAGCTCTCACCAGCTTTTTGGCTGTGCTTTGCCCAGGGCAGGAAAAGGCTGGAGAGACAGACCAAAGTGCTGCCTTTCCCAGAGCTGCCTACCATACCCCCCTCCGCTCCCTCGAGCTGGTCATGTTTCCATCCCGCTATTTAAAGACGCGTGTGAAAAGCAGAGTCTCTCACCTTGTATCTGGCAGACTCCCACCCTTGACTTCTCTCCCCAGGGATTTGGTCCTCATGTGAACTGGCTCTCCAAGGCTGGCACGGTGGGGGTAAGAAGGCCAAGGGCTGTGCACAAACATAAATTAAAATTAAGGCCTCCAGTGAAGCTGAGATGTGGTTTAATTTCCCATCTGCATGATCACCATTACAATGCATGTTATTGGATATAAAGATAAATCCAGCCCTGTTCCTAATAGCTTTTAATTTCCACCAGACCTGATTATATCAATGCAGGCCCCTTGTGGGAGTTTCCCAGCATGCTCTTCTCCAGCATCCTGACTGGCTGTCTCGGCCCCAGCTGGGAGTTTGGGACACTGCTCCGATGCGAGCCAGATGTGTCTGCTGCTGCTTGGGAAGACAAGCCTGCATCAGCCCTCTTGTCCATGTGAATGGGGATACTGGGTTGTCACTGTGCCTTGGCCAGGCTGCAAGTGTGCTGGGGACACTGTGTGTTGGGGGTAGGGAGAGACAAGGGCAAGGAGCCATCTGGCCAGAGGGGTCCTGTGACATGAGGAAAGGTCCCCTAATGTTGTGTAAGGATTCCTATCAGGCAGTGCTTCCTCCCTGCAGCCTACCTTTGGCTAAGAGAGCGAAGTGAACCACCAGCCTCCCTAGAGTAATAGACTCCAGAGATCCAGGGTACCAAGTGGGCTTTCATAGCTCTCATTAGATTCAGTGATCTCTTCTGCCTGGGGTGCGGTGGCCCCCTCCTCTCTCTGTTGACACCCTGCCCCGCTTTTGTCCCTTATGCTTTGTTCACATGCCGTCTTCCACGAGGCCAGACAGGCCTGCCGGGCAGACATTACTACCCCAGTCTCATTCCTGGGGCTCAGCCTTCATTCTGTCTTGCCTCGTAGGCCGTTATTTCTGTCTGTCTGCTGCAGGAGGGTGTACAACTGTATCTCTTTCATCATTTTATCCCCAGAACCAGCATAGGACTGTCACAGAGGGATAGTAATAATAAGTTAATGATAATACTGTCATAGACGGAGACCTCTTTTGGGTTAGGCATTTTACATATATTATCGCTAGTCCTCACTATAACCCTTTAAGAGAGA